CTCGAAGAGCTAGCCATCGTGTTGCAGCCGTTTGGGAAGAACAAAGTTTCGCCTAGAGAAACCGCGATTTGGTTGGCAAAGAGTCTAAAAGGAATGATGATCGAAGACATCAATAATAACAGTGGCAGCTCCAGAAATGTATCATGAAGGTAAAGTATATCATACAAGCATTTTCAACCAAACTCTCTTCTTTTGTTACTTATCTTCTATAAAGTTTATATTTTCATAAAGTCACTCACTTAAAAAATCACAAAAAAAAAAAAAAACTCTTGTTCAAAGAACATTTTTCGAAATTTTGAGAGTACAGCCACTGATCATCGATGTTAAGTGTCTAAAATATTGTATATACAAACTCTGGGATTATTGGTTGATTATTTTGTTCTTCATGTTTCTGTTTTTTTATTCTGATTCTAATCAGATAAAAGCATTGGACCATGGGTTTGAGTCGTTTGACTATAAATTTAAGCACCATCACAGAACATGAACCTCATAAATATTGACTAATCCACCTCCGTGGTCCTAATCACTTCACTAATCACCCAATGATCGAAATTTCTTGTGTGCAATTACATGACCAATGAGCATTTGTAATTGTAACAAGTCCAACTATCACAATCTTTATCAAAAACCAAAAAAAAAAAACATTAGAGTTTATGGTTTTTAACCAAATCAAACCTAAACAAAACAAAAAAAAATTAAGAAAAATGATAGCCAAATGAGTTTTAGGTTAAATCATAACCAAACCAAATTATTTATTACGGTTTAGTTTGGTTTGGTTTTTTGGGTTGCATTTTTTTTGCATGCCTTTTTGATGATAACCATTACTTAGAGACTCGATCCAAGTGTTTGTAAAGTTTTATAATATACATTTTTTAAAAACTTATAAGACTTTACAAAGTATTTTACGCTAGCTACATTATGTTGTGGCAGATATTCTTCAAAGCTTAAAAATAGCACACTAATATAGTTTCAGTTTTTAAAAGCCAACTAGATTTTAACCCTCGGTATACCGTGGAACAATATTTTAAAACGTTTTTTATTAATTGTGTTTAGTATATAAGATTGTACTACATGCTGAAAAAAAGCTTGTACTACTTTATTTTGATTGTTAATTCTATGATTTAAACCGTGAAATATTTCATGACAATTTTTTTTATATAATGGTAATTTGATCAACTTAATTAAATCAGTCTAATATTCAAAACAATGAAATGATGTTGGCATAACATGTTTCGTTTAAATAGTCAAATTTCATATTAAAATATTTTGTGATTTTTACTATAATAGACAACCCGTAAAAATATCTATAATCATAATTATAT